TTTTTTTAGAATATTAAATACATTCTTACTAGCTTTCATACCAACAGCTATTTCTGGATTCTATTATGGCACAGGTTTTCTTTTACATAAATATGTTTTTCCAATTGATATATTAGCAGCTTTTGTAATCATTAAAATATTGTATCTTAGTATCTATATCTTATTCTAAGTCTAAGATGTCAGATGTAACCAGCTGTTGACGGTTCCCAATTGGCAGAATCTACTTTCCACTTTTGATAGATAGGGCTTTTTGGTGGGTGAGTTATAGTGGTTCCCATTATTATAGGATAGTGGTACAGTAGATCACTACTATAAAGATAATTTAGACTATCGTAAAATAGTTTTCGAAACACAATTCAGATTTCTGCTTTATAATCTGAGCCTTCTAAGAATTGCAAGGCAAACAGACGTTGATAAAAGATGTTAAAAGAGACATGGGGAATCTAAAATTTGCATTCCACGACATGTCTTTTACAACTAAGCAGAAATCCTTAGCGAATTGTGTTCCTTGTACTCCCACAGAGTAAATCCGAATAAAATGAGAAAAGGCAGCAAATATTTGATTTCACGCAAACAAATCCTATGTATCTCTTGATACGTATTTCGACCTAATAGGTCTCGTCAGAAGAGCTATTCATAGGGTTTCTCAACGTGAAAAATCAATATTTTCTGCCTTTTAAGAAGCAACAATAACATGGCTTCGATACGGACGCAGTAGCGACATCTAATTAAACAATCGTAAAATAGTTTTCGAAACACAATTCATGGGAATGAACGATGGAATGCAAATTTTAGATTCCCCATGTCTCTTTTAACATCTTTTATCAACGTCTGTTTGCCTTGCAATTCTTAGAAGGCTCAGATTATAAAGCAGAAATCTTAATTGTGTTTCGAAAACTATTTTACGATTGTTTAATTAGATGTCGCTACTGCGTCCGTATCGAAGCCATGTTATTGTTGCTTCTTAAAAGGCAGAAAATATTGATTTTTCACGTTGAGAAACTCTATGAATAGCTCTTCTGACGAGACCTATTAGGTCGAAATACGTATCAAGAGATACATAGGATTTGTTTGCGTGAAATCAAATATTTGCTGCCTTTTCTCATTTTATTCGGATTTACTCTGTGGGAATACAAGAAACACAATTCGCTAAGGATTTCTGCTTAGTTGTAAAAGACATGTCGTGGAATGCAAATTTTAGATTCCCCATGTCTCTTTTAACATCTTTTATCAACGTCTGTTTGCCTTGCAATTCTTAGAAGGCTCAGATTATAAAGCAGAAATCTGAATTGTGTTTCGAAAACTATTTTACGATTGTTTAATTAGATGTCGCTACTGCGTCCGTATCGAAGCCATGTTATTGTTGCTTCTTAAAAGTCAGAAAATATTGATTTTTCACGTTGAGAAACCCTATGAATAGCTCTTCTGACGAGACCTATTAGGTCGAAATACGTATCAAGAGATACATAGGATTTGTTTGCGTGAAATCAAATATTTGCTGCCTTTTCTCATAATTTAGACTATTCCATAAAAGGGAAGTTGATAATGAGGACTCACATAAAGATAAATCTATGGCGGAGGAAGTACTATTCTGAGAGGTGGTGTGGGATTACCAGTATTCATGGGTATTAAATATTGGGCATCTATAATTTCCATGAGAAATTGTAGACTCTCAACATAGATTTGTAATTTGATTAATTAAATACTACAGCTTCTTTAGTGCAGTTTCGTTAGGATGAGATATATAAATATGGCAAATATTGATGTTTTTGCAGTTGATATTGCATGTCACTGATAGAGTTACAGCTTCTAAATAAATTAGTATGTAGGTTAATTGGTTTGATCTGAATGTGACTTTTTTACAAAAATACCTCCACTAGCATATCTTGTGTCACAATTTTTAAGAAAATGAAAATAATTTTTTATATTTAAATTATTAGTTTTATGAGGTGTGTTTCCTGTAAACATATTAGAGGAGGACATTAATTGTTTATAAGTAAATTAAGAGACTCTTAATAAAATAACCATTAGGATTCTATTGTGACATGAATGTATTATCCATTTTATTTTAAAACGTGAGAAAGGGAGATATCGCTTTCAATATTCGAGGATAAATCAGCAACTGTACATTGCATCGTTTTTCAAATCCTTGTTAGTTTATTTTTTATGTTACGGTCAGGAATATGGTCATGGGCAAATAGAAGTATTTCTCGTAATTTTCTTTTAATTTTCTACTATAGAAGTAGAATATTTTGAGTTTTATTCATTACATATCGCGTCTCAAAAAACTGCAAATTTAAGAGAAATGTTGGGTATTTGGCTCTAGATTTTACCTTTAGTAGATTCAAGTAACTCGAAGATATCAGATGGTAAGGATTTTGGCTGCCAATCCATATTTTTTGGTTTGGTAAAAATCGTTGGACCATCTGTCATTTCATGTATGTCAGGAAAGTCAGTAGACATTTTGTCTCTCTTTTTTTTTAATTTTGTTTCTTCTTCTTATTGCGTCGTTCTAACGAAGGTTGGTGATCACTTCTTTAAACGCTTCCCTATTATTGCAACGTGAAATATCTATTCAACACTAAGGTTAGCCCAATCTCTGATATTTTTCAGCTAAGATTTCTTCTTTCTTCCGAAGCCTTTTCTTTCCTCTCCTCTTCCTTGCATGATGACGTGTAGAAGAAGTATTTATCGTTTTGAAGTATGTGGCCCGAATACGATGTTTTTCTTATTTTAATTCTGTTCATAAGCTTTGTGTCATGTACAGTTCGTCGTAATAGTTCTTCATATGAGACTTTTGCTTCTGATGAAAGGCATCACTGTTCAAGTTAATAGGATTGTTATTTGTAGTCGTTTAGTTGTGGATATCTTGCGCTGTTATTTAAATATTAGTGGTATAATTAATAGAATTTCCAACTTCCGCCGGAATAGTTTGAGGTTTAGAAGGGAGTGGCATCAAACAATATTGTAATGATATCTAGAGTAGTTATATTTTTAATAGGGGTGATGAAAATTTATCGTCGAAAACTTAAACCGTAGTTATAGACAGTGTCCCGCATTCCAACTAGCTGAAAAATTATCTGGGATACAGCATAAAGCCCTAATTTTTTCAGCTCAACTTCAAGTATACATTTTGGTATGATAGGACAAACTTTTCAGAAGATGACCAGTCGTAAAGCAGGAGTACTTAGACGTCTTACTTCAAATAATGCATTATTATTGATGAATATCGATATAATATGTGTCTTGAGCAATGTGTTGACTACTTCAGTATTGGAGAAGTAAATAGAAATTCTGTTATTGGAGATGCGAGATGCAAAAGATATATGTTCTAGGTTTACTGTTCACTGAAAATATTTAAACACCAAGAGGAATTAGACAAGGCGACAGTTTAAGCCCCTTCTTGTTTTACCTACTCATGGACTAAATTATAAAAGTAACATCTCTTAATCTCGGATACAGAATGGGCAACAAAAGAATTGGTATGGTGTAATACGCATATGATGCAGCAATTATTGCAGAATCAGAAGATGATCTTCAGAGACATTTCTTTCAAGCAAGCTGCGAACTAAATATGACCATTTCTACCAACAAAACTAAATGTATGACAATAGCAAAAGATTCGTTCAGATGTAAGTTAGTGGTTGAGAACAACCCCATAGAACAGGTGATGTAATTCAGATATCTAGGCATAGATATATTAGTAAAGGACCTAAGGAGTCAGATCAACAAAGCATACGCATTGTCAGGATGTCTGCGGTAGATAGTCTGGTCAAATCCGTATATATGCGCACAGATAGTAAAATTAGAATCTACAAGACTTGCATACGATGGATCATGACATATGGTATAAATATATGGTATAAATATATGGTTGGATGAGAATAGACTCCTAAAAATTGCCCTAGAAAATAACCTGCCTGGCTTAAAAGCTCTCGGAAAACCACCTAAAAGATAAAGGGATAGTTGGCAATCTACCTCCCAGGAAATTAATCAGAGGCAACTTCAGAAATAAACAGATCGAAACATCTCCAAGAAGTAAAAGAAGAAAAAGGAGAAGGTTTTACTACATTCCCTATTACTATAAGATATTCATTTATTTTTACTCCGTTGAGAGCAGATAGGACAATATGATCGGGAACTTGTTTTTATTTATGTATCCCAATTAAAATAGATATTACTTACAGATATCTCCAATAAGTTCACCAAATTATTTTTATAATAAAACTACACTTCATTACAAATTTGTCAACTGGATACAAATATCATCGCAAAAAACCAGGTGTAATTAGATTTTCAATTAAACACGTCTCTTAACGACAAAGGTTTGACTTAGTTTGATTTCAAACTTAGCCTGAAGTATTCTCTTATGTAGTTTAAACCATATTTGTTATCATCATTGCTCTCTCCTAGTACCTATCCGCCTATTACGTCAGATTTTCGACCTTTTCCAATTTTCGCTTTAAAAAAATCAAGGATATACGCAACTTTATTTCTTTTTAGGCTTTTAAGTGTCTGTTTAAAAAGTCTAACGCAGTAGTTTAAAATTCTAGATGAATCTGCGGCTTAGACTAGGATATGCTGGGTTCTGATCGGCCTATGGTGGAGCAGTACGGCAAGAGATAAGGGCTTGCGGCTCGGTGATACTCCTCCATAGATCCCTACCGGACGGGCGTAACGCCTAAAAAACCGGATATATATATATATATATATATATATATATATATATATATATATATATATATATATATATATATAGTGTCTGTTTAAAGTTACTATAAAAATATCCTACTTTATTGAAGTATCTATTTTCATCTATATTAGTGCGTATATCTGAATAATAATTACATTAAATAATGGTGTGCTATTTAGTCGAATCAACGCTATTCTGCTACTAACAGGTATAATTTTTTCACGTGGTTTTTAATGTTATTTTTCTGTAAGGTAATTAAAAATAATGATTACATGATTGTACTAATTGTTTTATATTTCTTTTACAGCAATCTGGAAAATACTTCTTGATAACCCCTGTAAAGAAACGTGTTCCGAAGAAGACAAGAAAAAAAGTAAAAAAAGTTATAAAGCATCTCTATGTAAACCACCGCAATTGGTTCGACGAATTGGCAGAAATATTAGATAAAGATGAGGAATACCGTACCAAATACAAAAAACCTCTTGAGGATATTGTTAAAGATGATTCTATATAAACAAATAATAGTTTTTATTTAATATTTGTATCTAATTTAACATGTGGAGAATATTTGTTTAATAAATTTGAAAATTGATTTTTGTTTTGTTTTTAAGAATGAATAATTACATACTATAGATTTTAAAAGTGTCGTTTGAATATTTCTTACCCACAAGTAGAATTTATAATTTTAATTTATAATTAAATTGAGTTAAATTAAATCTATAATTTGATTTAATTAATACAAAAGTTTTTATTTGATATTTCTATCTAATTTTACATGTGAACATTATTTGTTTAATAAATTTGAATATTAATATTTTTTTGGTTTTTATAAATGGATAATTGATTTTAAAGTGTCGGTTGATTATTTCATACCAACAAGTTAAAGTCTATTAATATAAAGAATATGATGCTGCAAAATTACAGTCAAAAGTTTACACAAAGTTTACCACGGGAACCCGTTTATAACAATTTTTAAACAAACTAAAAAAAATTCGATTGGAATTTTTTAAAATTATTTTAAAAATTGTTATAAATCAATATGTTCTCGTGGTAAAGTTTGTGAATCTTTTTATTGTAATGTTGTAGGACCATATTCTTTCGATTTAAACAGAATTAATTTTGTGGGTACGAAATAATCAATGTGTTTCGAACGTTAAACTTCAGACATTCATGAACCATATACAGGGTGTCCACATACTCTCCTGACAAACGAATACCGGAGATTCCGCATATAATTCTAAGACAATTTAACCTAAAATTATTTAGTCAAAAAATACTTCCTAAGGGAGCTAGAACTCTATGAAAATGGCGCCTTGCAATTAGTTTTTTTTAATATTTCCAAAACGCTTCTATATAAAAAAAAAACGAAAACTGGTACGATTATTTATTAAACGGTTATTTTACTGTATAACTTTTTTGTCTTTACTTCTTAAGTATTCATAAAACTATAATATTCAATTTTTAGGTATTCTGGTACTTAAAAATACTCTTACTCTTCGATAGAATACACCATTTTTTAGAAAAATCAATCTGAAAATTTTTTCGTTTTTTCGTCATGAGAGTTAAATGATCATTGTTTGCACTAGTTGGCCATGGGCCTGTCAACAGTAGTATAATAACCTTCCTTTTTCAATAAAACATTGTGGCAAATTCGCGAAGTTTATCATTTAGTTTTTTACTTTAACTTTATGGCATTCAAATATAACAATTTCAGTTAAAAAAATGGTTTTTACTAATGAGGGATATGCTGATATGCTTTAGTCCATGGCGAAATGACGTTTAACGCTCGAGCAACACAATGTAGATACCCTGAAAAATTTCCCAATAATCGTCATCGTCATCCAACGCAATGATCATTTACAGCTCTTCATCAGAGCTTAAGAAAAACAGGTTCAATAGTCCCAAAAAATAATGATTGAGAGCAATGATGATATATCCGCAGCACGTAAAGATTATTTTAGTAGAACTTGAGGAAAATCCAGAAATTACAAACCATCGAAGACATGTACTTTCATAATAGAATACAGGCAAAGATAAGTGAAAATCTAATACAGTGTATTCCAGTACGAAGAGGAGTCAAATAGGGTGACTCGTTAAGCCTACTTCTCTTTAATATAATAATGGACGAAATATTCCAAGCAGTACGTAAAGGTCATGGCTACAGAATGGGGACCAAAAATATCCAAATATTATGTTATACAGGCGACGCCATATTAATCGCCGAGACAGAAGACGAGCTCCAAAGATTAACACACATCTTTAATCCAACAGCCAAGAAATACAATATGATAATATGAGCAGAAAAAACGAAATGATTGACAACATCTAAATACCCACTACGATGTAATATCGAAATTAACAATCAAAAGACTGATATTTTTTGTACACACTTATGACAAGTCGAAAGAAAATGCAAAAAAGTATTTTTGAAGTGTGTATATTTTAGGCAATTCCTAGCTGAGCGCTTTCGGCTTTACAAAGCCATCATCAGAGCTATGCTACAATAAAATGTTCTTATAAGTACTAATTGGTAAAGATTGTAATTGACGTAATTGTAATTGTAATTGTAATTGTAATTTTAAAAAATTGACGTAAGTTAAAAATTACAATCTTTACCAATTAGTACTTATAAGAACATTTTATTGTAGCATAGCTCTGATGATGGCTTTGTAAAGCCGAAAGCGCTCAGCTAGGAATTGCCTAAAATATACACACTTCAAAAATACTTTTTTGCATTTTCTTTCGAAATATCGAAATTGATGGAAAAATAAAGTAAAGTGTCAGGATCTCTTAATGACACACTCCGGAAGAACAAACACCTAAGATAAGATGCAAAAACAAGAATCTATAAAGCAGGGAAGCGAAAACATAAGAGAAGCATGTGATATAGAAGACATAATTAGATGGGTGACAAACCTGAAACAGGAGTGGAACGAACACATTAGTAGAATGGCAGAGCATATGATACTACGAATAGTACGAGATAAGTCACCAAATGGAAGAAAAAGTTTTGGTAGACCAATAAAAAGATAGTGCAAGAATTTAAACAATTTAGGAGACTAATATTAAAAAAGAAACATGCTTTAAAGCTTACATACAAGAAGAAGACTTTTTAATAAAATAATTAACGACAAGCAAGTTCATTCATCGTGGGGTAATATAATCACAACAATAATACACAAAAAAGGACCGAAGAAAGACCCTAATAATTACCGAGGCATTGTGTTAATAAGTTGTTTATGCAAAGTATTTATGCACATTTTATAAACCATGGCAGGGGACATGGTGCAGGCAAATTTCTATACTTCCAGGTTGTCAGTCGTGATTTTGGCCGAATAGAAGTTGCACTTGTAATGTATACACATTCTCCTGCGATATAGAAATATGGCGACGGAATGTAAAACGTAATGTTTTTGTCACATTTGTTGACTTTAAAGGCGCATTTGATAAAGTTAACCACTCTTTCGTAAATTGTATAACTGTGGAGTCAGTTCACGTGTTGTTAGTTTATTTAAGATTTTTTACGCAAATGCGACTACCCGTGTAAAAACTAATGGCTCTTACACATTGCCATTTTTCGTCGGATCAGGAGTTCCCCAGGGAGAAGTAGTAAGCCTTTTTTTATTCTCATTGCTTCTGCTCGACAAGGAGTATTGCTTCAAATACAAAGGCTGCCGTGGCATCCCTTTAGATGAAAATACTAAACTATTGTTGTTGTATTCAGATTGTAACATTTTTTTAAATTAATATATTAAATTATTTTTAATTCCTTTTACCCATGTGGATGATACGCCGATGATCGTGTTTACGATTAGAAAATATTATTGAAAACTACCGAAATATAACGAAAGAATCTACCTACCAAACTAGCATGGAATTTCCTGAGTCGAAAGGTTTTTAATCCTTTCCGTCTTAATCCTGAATATGAAGGGAACTAATGCTTTTCGGTGAAGGCGGATTCCTTTATGATAGATTTGTAAATATTCCGAAGGCACGTATAGTAATTTTTCGGAAAAACCTAATCTAGAAGATTTATATTTCATCACGTTAGAAGGGTACCGTTAGTTTCGATGTTCGTTAGAATCTTTTTACTTTCTTAGAACTACATACGACTGGACTATGATTTTTGAATGGGAGATATCCCCTCGTTTTTCTTGGGTAGTTTGTGAAATTTTAGAAAAAATAAGTTACTTCTCGGTAGGCTCTCGTTGAGTAAAGGCTTACATGATCGTATCTGTTATCTTACCGTCTGTGAATTGTTTTCTCTAAGTGTGTATACACTTTATATTTGAGTTTTCTTCTCTTATACTATATTAGATTATATATAGTTCTAAAGTACCTTTAATGTTAATTAAAGTCAGTGTTGATAGACCTAGTGCAGCAATCGTCAAGATTTACTGTAAGTAATCATTAGCTTCAAATTATCTGGGCGAGTAACATGGTATGGAATCACATCATCTGCCATTATCTGAACGTTTCTAAAGTTCCTCCATGTCTTCACCTGTAGATTGTTGATTTTTGCAGTCAATTTAAAGAACATTTCAATAGATTCAAGAAATTTCAATAAGTAATAATTATGAACATTTAAATCTCAGTTTAGCATTACATAATAGTGCGAGATAGCTAATCGATTTAACCAAGTGCGGTTTGGTTAAATTTTTTGGTTTTCATTTCTGTAACCTTTTTGTATTTTTGTAAATTTAGAATTGATTAATTTTTTATTTTTTTGTGTTGGTTTTAACTTTTATTCATTTTTTTTTGCTGTAATATCTCGAGATACGCCAAAACTTTATTTGTACATGATTGTATTATATATCTTTGTAAAGATATTTTCTAATTATATTACTGCTTATTTTTATATGTATACCACCATTTTATAGTTGTTGGTGTACTTTTATTACTTGTGTGCATTCAGCAGCGTCATAATTTTGTTGTTGAATATATTGTTATTGTTTTATGTATGTATTTTATTTGTCGGCTCCTAACAAGTTCCCTGATAAAATAATAAACGGTGAGTATTTGCTTTTTACCTTTCAATATTACTATACCTTTGAGAAGTAGAAAGATCAGGCTGATTAAGTTTCATAGGTAAGTAATATATTTATTATTTGTTTATATAGTATGTTGACCAAATTTATTTAATAATTAACTGTTGGTATCTTTCCTTGGGTTTGATCTCTGAACCTAAATATCTTTCCTTATCTCTTTTTTTTTTCTAAGGTTTCTTAACATTCTCCTTAACCCCAAAAAATTTAGTGACGCCCTGTTTCTATCTTATCGTATCTTTGGTAGTTTTACCCATCTATCTTTTTGTTAATTTCTGTATCTTTTCTAATATCTCTTATCCTATCTTTACTTATTTCATACGTTGGACTCATTCTCGGTTTCAAAAGTTAGTTTCGAACCCACGACTTGCTCTCCACCAACCATCTCGCTGCCGTCCGCAATGTCTCCTTTGGTGACCTTTCTAGCACCATCCAAAAAAAAGATTTCCGAGGTTACAAGATGACATTGTTATTCTCACAGACTCAAAAATAGATGCCAGAAATAAACTTATTATTTTGCATGGTTATGCTAACGTCAAAAACAAAAGTTGCCATCCCTTTTGTCTTACCATTTTTATA